ATAAAACAACACATGACACCCATGGTAAATTGATAGCATCGTTTTGAACAATTCCACCACCACCAATCGTGTAACATGTTTGAATAGTACTTGACACACGTTGTAATCAGAGACTTTTGAAAATTATAGGGAATTAGAAGTCACATTTTCATGTCCACTAAAAAGAATCGCTTATTGTGTAATTGTTGTGCCACGGGGTAGTGCACATTTTGATCAACAACATACCACGATCGATCTGATATTGCATTTCCGGGTTTTACACCTTTTCCTTCATGAATATCAGACTCTGCTTCCGCTTAGCTGGGAGTGGAAAGCAATTGGGAAAATAACAGGTCTCTCAGTATCAATGACAAATAGTCCGAGATTACTTCCACCAGTCATAACCGATCGAACTCTGTCAATAGGGCCATTAAGGAAAACCCTTGAAACGGATGTTTACTGTCGAGATGGAGGATATGGGACATCCAGCTCGCAATAAGATCCTCCCAAAGCATGCACTAGTCCACCGTGCTGTTTTTCCTCATCCGAACAAAAGCCTAAAAAATACAAACGGTTTGAAATAAAACAGTATAAAATATCTTGTCGTAATTGTACAGTTTTGTCGTCCTTGCTCCATTGAAAATATCCACCACACAATGCCTTTTCATTAGCTGGATTGTTTACTAGACAAAGTCTATGCACATAGAACAAATGGCCGGTTGAAAGGAAAAACGATTCCCAGGGTTCTGTCAGCTTATCATCGAATCTTATTTCACGATCAGTTGGTTTCACAACGATTCTATAGTCAGAAGATAGTTGAAGAAAAAACAACACTATGATCGCTTTGAGTAATGGAGAAGCGTCTTATTTTGATGGGTTGGGGCAAAACTTAGATTTTTCCCGATTGGATAATGGGAATGAATCTATCAAACTGCAATATTCTGTCCGTTAGCATCAATCCGAGAACATATAGGGAGCAAACACCATCCATCCATTCTCAACGTTCCTGATTAATCCGAATTCCATTTCCATTAATCCCGTGGGAATTTTGGGAGGATAATTAGGCTTTCCTTGACAGAGTCTCAAATTTGAACAAGACGCGTGTATGACACTTGAGATTGAGTCAAAACCGATTGTGGTATACTGGAAGAAAAATAGGACCTTGTTCCCGTATGGGAACTGACCAGTTGGTGGCATTGGTCTGTTCCTCTTTGAAAAACCAGGGTCTGGAAGCACCAGATTAAAACACCATCTTGTCGTATCTTCCCTAAAGAAATCATCTTCGATTATTTAAGTGTCAACCAAATTGATGGTTGATGATTTGGACAAAAAAGCAGATTGAGCATTGAAATGTTGAGAGCAAACTTGGGTGAGAGAAATCACACAACTGCACCAAGGTGTCCAACGCAGCTGTAAAGAATGTCGGCTTGCTTAAGCGGGTCTTCGGCCGGTTTGAGTCAGCTTTATTCCCCCGCTTACTATCAGCATACATTCGACCACTCGCAGAATACGCTATCCAGGCATGGAATCCATGGCTACAGCGTGATTACAAGATGCTGGAGCGTCCACAAAGGATGGCCACAAAAATGGTCAGGGGGTTGAATCGGTTTCCATACGCAGAGAGACTGAAGTCACTGGGATTATATTCCAATCATTACCGGCGCATCAGAGGAGATATGATTATGGTGTATCAAATAATGCAAAACCCAAGCCATCCGTGTCGCCCGCTTTTGAAATTATCACCCAACGTTCATCTTAGAGGAGACCCATTTAAACTAGTGGTCTCAAAATGCCGCTTGGAATGCCGGCGTCA